ATAAACAGGGAGCTAGATGGGAAGTGGGAACCAGTACCTCTATGGGATTCAGACACATGCAAGGCAAGGATTTTAGCCACTAGGTTATTACACCAGGCCCAAACATGTTGTTTTAGAACACACAACTTTGGGAGATGATGTCATGGCTTAACAGACTAATATTCCACCCTCTGGTACCAATATCCCATATGGGTACCCGTTCAGGCCCCTGCTGCTCATTTCTGACACAGCTCTCTGCTTACAGCCTGAGAAAGCAGAGGAGAATGGCCCAAGTCACTGGGACTCCTGCACTCCTGTAGAAGACCCAGCAGGAGCTTCCAGCTCCTATGGGAGCTGTTGTAGCCATTTGGAAAGAAAAATCAGTGCATGGAAGACCTTTTCCCTTTATCTATTAATCTCTTTGTAAATATATATTTCAAATAAAAATAAGCTTTTTTTTTTTAATGAGTAAATCTCCTTTTTAGGTAACCATGATAGTTTTCAAGACACTTGGCTTTGGAGGACTGGTCCCTGATTTGAAAAATCTTCATTTTTAATGAAAAAAAAAATCATCTTTCCCTTCCAGATTGATTTGTGGACATTGATACAGAGAAAGTGTGCTGCAAGTTAGTGTGAACATTCGCTGTCTTCATTTCTTCAAATACATAGGGCATGAGTGAGGGTTCTGTGCAGCTTTTGAGGATAAGATATAAGTTGACAAGGGATTTTTCTCTTAAAGTTTTTGTAGCATCAATACTACCTATTCAGCTTTTTCATTTTTCCTAATGTAGGCATTCCAGATCTGGAGTGTCCAAGGTGATGGCATTTAGAACATACCACTCAATGAACTCCAAGTACCACTGGTGCAGGGGTTCCTGTGAGCAGAAGGAGAAAGCCGCCTGGATTTGAAGATGACTTCGCTTTCAGTGTTACAGTTAGCTTATCCAATAGTGTGGCTTGGTATTATCCCGAGTGACTGGAGGCAAGCCAGTAATCCCCTTGTACCAGGAGTGACAGTGATAGGGAGTCGGGATGCCCAAGCGTGAACTTCTTTGCCCTTTTGCAGCACATTAGGGGATTTCTGCTATTATTTTTAGGTAAGTTGGTCCCTTTTGATAACAGTGTCTAGATAATTTGAAAACTATGTCTTGCACAGTTTCATTTCCTCTGATGTTTGAGTCAGCAGGCTCAGTCCTAGGCCTCGCATGTTTTGTACAAAGATGTCAAAAAGCTTTCTCAGGTCTGCAACCTTAGGGTGGGTGCTTTCCACAGATCCCGTCATCAGAAGCGAGCCTGCCAAACATCACGTCTTGTGGCCCTCTGTGGAGTGTGACAGTCTTTTGAAGTGATAACTGCCCAGGGATCCTACATTACGACCGTTTCATTACGACCGTTTCTTTATAAAACCTTTATACATATTTCAGATTAGCACTGATATCACATCATGACTCCATCTTAGCTTTCCCCGCCACCCCCATCTTGTCTGTGTTTCTTTTTTTCTTTTCTTTTTCTTTTTCTTTTTTTTTCTGGAACTAACCTTCGTCAATCATCTTGTAAAGAGGTTCTGTTGGCCATGCTTTGTCAGCTTGTCCTGGCTGTTGATCTGACCTGGTCCCATATATCAGGGGGAACAGATTGAAAACGAAGCTGAGAGGTCAGTGTCAAGCATCCTTGTATTCACATGTGAACAGCAAAGGGTTTCAGCAGCAGAGGTTATTAAACTGTTTGCCTGGAGTCTATTATTAAATTTATATTTATTCTGTGAGTAAAGGCCATCGTTTCAAAATGCTAGGGCAGCATTATCTTGTTGGGATATTTACTTCTGTAGATTCTAACAAGAGAGAAGCAATAAGTCCTGAACTAAAAACAGAATAACAAATCAAGTTTTTATTTTTTAAAAAAAATAGCCTAATAGCATGCATGTTACAATATTAATCTCAGATTTAGGAAGTTTCCAAATTAGGGAGTTTAGCTAAGCTGCACTTAGATGTTCCTTTTTAAATTATGGTACCTAATCTTTGAAATCTTAAGATCTATCAAGGGAACAGGTGATGTTACAACAGGTTAAGGTGATGTTTGCAATGCCTGCATTTTACATGATATCAAGCGAAGTCACTGCAGTTCACAAAGTGGTAAAACAAAATAAGACAGACTTCAAATTTAAAGATGAAAATTCTTTGTGAAAGTTTCATTATACATCAATACTTTTAGTACTTGAAGCAAACCTCATATTTTCTTTTGCACAGAGATGCAAATTCTAGCTTTCTTTATTATTTATTTATTTATTTTTATTGAGAAGACAGATATGCAGAAAGAAAGAGAGGCAGAAGGATCTTCTTGATTCACTCCCCACGTGGCTGCAATGGCTTGAGCCAAGATGACCTGAAGCCAGTAGCCAGATACCTCTTCCAGTTCTCCCACACAGGTACAGACTCCCAAGGCTTTGGGCCGTCCTCAGCTGCTTTCCCAGGCCTCAAGCAGGGAGCTGGATGGGAAGTAGAGCAGTCAGGTACTAGGAACACAACTGGAAGACAACCCATTTCTATGATGTGGGTGGCAGAGAACCAACAACTGAACTACATGAGCCAACATGCTGGCCTCCCAGGGTCTGCATTTGCAGGAAGCTGGGACCAGGAGAAGACACAAGATCTGAATCCAGGAGCTATCATCTAAGATGTGGGTATCTACTGCTATTTTACATGTCTACTCTGTGACTCCAATATAGTAAACAAAATCTACTATGTTGGTTTTTTCATTGCATTGCCATACAACAAAACTGATATTGCAGCAAAGAAGCAAATGCACAAAAAGCTATCGTAAAGTCTTGAACTTTCTTAAAAGGTGCTGATCTAGTTTTCAACTTTATGAGCAAAGAAGCATAATGACAAAATCCCCAGGCTACACAAAGTGAAAATCAGGCCAGATGCTGAATGGAAATCCAAATATTTTGATACTAAATTGGAGAAAATATTTCTCACAGATTCTTATAAAAAGACACAATATACTGTGTGTACAGCTTACTCATTAATAGCAAGTTAAATATAACCTAACCTTTCACAGCTACATATCTTAAACCATCTCTTCTTAGCCATGGCATAATGCCAGATAGTTAAAAACAAGCCCATAAATAAAAAGTGCTGCTTTCATGTTGTACAGCTCTAGCAGTCTGAATTAATACAAGGCCAAAACTCAGCATCTAGGAGCTCCGTTAGCCAGTGATTGCTGCTGCCAGCATTCGCAAACATTTCTTGTCAGTGTACTTGAGGTAAATGTGTCTGACAAAACAGTGCATATATTGAATCAAGAAATCTGCAAAATCTGAGATGGAGAGAAATTAACGTTCACTGAGAAAAACTGAAGCAACTAAACAGGCCAACATCGTGGGATAAATGTCACCTGTGACACCAGCAGCCGATATAGGTGCCAGTTAGAGTCCTAGTCGCTCCTCTTCCAGTCCAGCTCCCTGCTAATGTACCTGGGAAAGCAACAGAAGACCCCCAAGCCTCTTGAACTTTGGTCCCTGCCAACCACTTGGAAGATCTGGATGCTGCAATAGACTTCCATTGGCAGAAGCAACATAGGACACTCACTGAGAAACGGTGAACATACTGTGAATCAGGTAAGGCCGAGAAAACCATCATCTGGGTGCAACCTCAGAGAAGAACTGGACTGGCAGAAAATAGCTTGGGGACGACACAGACACATGTGACAGGTATGGGCCACTGTGAAAGCAGTCATAGTGCAGTGCCAAGAAGAAGTTTGGGGTCAGAAGCCTCTCACCCCAAATCAATGCTTTAGTGAGTTGAAAAGAGGGAGAACTAAATATGTGAGCACTAAATATGGAATGTAAGCAGCAAAGTTGTAAGTGTAGGGCCACCTCAACTACTGTGCCCAGGATGCCAGGCAAGACGCTGTAGAAATTAATGTTGGTGCTGCTGGTTCTTGGTCTTACTTTGGTCTCCCTTTTTTGGAATATAAATGCATACACTGTGTACTTGTCCCATCATTATATCTTGGAAGAGTATTACTGCTTTTGCTTGTACAGAGGTTTACAATAAAGTCTCCGATGAAACGTTGACTTTTGAGAAATGCTGAGACATTAACACTAAACTTTGGGCCCAGCATGATTTCCCAGTGTCTCAATCCTTGCATTGTGTGTGTCCGGGACCCCATATGGGTGCTGGTATGGCTGCTCCACTTCTGATCCAGATCTCTACTTGTGGCCTGGGAAAGCAGTAGAGAACGGTCCATGGTCTTAGACCCTGCACTTGTATGGAAGACCAGGAGGAAGTTCCTGGCTTCTTGCTTTGGAATGGCTTAGTACCTCTCATCGTGACAATTTGGGAGTGAATCAGCAGATGGAAGATCTTTGTTTCTCCTCTCTGGAAATCTGTCTTTCCAAAATAAATAAATAAATAAATAAATAAGTAAATAAATAAATAAAAGTCTGAAGCTTATGGGATGGAAAGAGTTTTTGCATTGTGAGCTGGACATGCATCTTCGTGGGCCCAATTTCGGTATAGAATGCTATGGTTTGGATAATAGTTTGGATGTCCTTCGAAGTCCTGTACTTGTGGGAAGTCTGTTCCGACAGTTTTATTGTGTGTGATCGATGGGCGCATTTGCAGATCTTTAGGGCATTTGAACATGCCATTCGAAGGTAGTTAGGAAAGTTGAGTTGGGTCTATTGGCTCCTTTTCCTTGTCTATCTCCACCTGTTTCTTTCTGGATTATCACATGACCATTCATCCGCCTTCCTCCTGCTTCAACACATGCCAGGACCAGTGGGGATGCCCCACCTTGGACTGAACCCACAACTACAAGCTGATGGAAGCCTTAGTCCTGAGCAGCTGCTTGTGAGTATTTTAAAGTAATAGAAAGCCGACGAACGTGTATGTTGGTTGACCTTGACCGACTTTTACATTTTCAGATTTTTCTAGACGTCGTGTAGAATACAAATTTGAATGTAGAATTCTGTAGTCTTCAAATGTGTGTTATAAACATGCTGTCTGTACCACTTGAATCTTAAATTACATTTATTGTGCTGCATATAACTCTGAATTTATTACATTTAAAAATTCAAACAGCATAATAAGTTTGGCTTCCTTTTCCCTCCAAAAACGGGAACTATAGCTCAGTAAAGGAAAACTTAATAACTTTTATATTCCAGTTGGTTATTGGATTTTATAGTTCTTGAAAATACTTCAGAAAAAAATTAGTAGTAACTGATTAATACACAAAACAGTTTACAATAATATAGGAAAGAAATAAATAAAAACTGATCAGGAAACACTATAGGTTAAAGTAATTTCATAAACAATAGCAGTACAACTTAGCTCCAACAACTCTAAACCAAAATAACAAAATAACACGATATTCATTGAACAACAAAGTAAGTTTCCACAATGTATGTAACTTAAATATCCCCTTCCCCCAGATAATAGTGGCTTCTTATTCCTTAAGCATATAAAGTCTGTTCTTCACTGGAGAAAGATGAATTTCTCTCAACCAAAGGCACATTCTTATCTGTAAGAGAAAACATCATATCATAAACAACCCCTGGGAGCCAATTTAAATACATTTCAACAAAGACTTGGAAGGCAAAGAAGAAAATAATCATTCTAAAATAATTAAAATGAAATATACCAATAGAACACATGACTTCTGTCCATGCTAATTATTTCAGATATTATCTTGAATTGTAATTTGAACACTTGGAAGGAATTGTGCAAATGACTAGCGTGGGAATTAAAGATTATGTCACATTCATAACAAAGATATACTCTCATACAGTATTTCTAAATTACTTTAGTTGACTTAGCATATAACATATGGTTGCTTCTATTATCCCATAAAAACAGTTCTTGAATTGATCCTGCTGGTAAACTTTCAGATGTCAGGGCTAATTACAACTGTAGGCCTGAACGTATGCTTTGCGACTCAAAGTACTTAGGTACATACAATGTAGAAACAGAATCATTTATATGGAAGAATACCTTTATTATTATTATTATTAGAAAGGCAGATATACAGAGATATATTATGCCATCTGTTGATTCACTCCCCAAATGGCCGCAATGGCTGGAGCTAAGCTGATCCGGAGCCAGGAGCCTGGAGCTTATTCTGGGTCTCCTGCAGGGATTACAGGGTCCCAAGGCTTTGGGCCATCCTCGACTGCTTTCCCAGGCTACAAGCAGGGAGCTGGATGCAGAGTGGGGCTGCCAGGATTAGAACGGGCACCCATATGAGATCCTGGCACATGCTAGGGAAGGACTTTAGCCTCTAGGCTACAGCACCGGGCCCTGGAAGACTAATTTCTTGATATGCATATACCATAAAGCAAATCTGTCCCTGTATTTTCTCCTTGACTTGTGTGTGAAAATATAAAGTTACATTTCCATATTACAAATTCCATGGACCTTAATCCTAATTGTAAAACCTTCTTTGCTATTGCTTAACCTGAATCCAGGCTTCCCAAAAGTCTTCTCAATGTTTTGGACATGAGCCTTTTCCAAACTCAAACCCACATTTTATAGTCACCTACTCTTCCTTAATGTCACTCCTTCATTCAAAAGCCTGTGGTCACCTGTGACCATTCCTACAATTGACAAAAACCAAATCCTTAGTACTTTTTTTTTTGGCCATTACCTTGCTGGTCTGGCTCTGGCCCTGACATGTTTGCCGTGAGCCCAGCCCACTGGTGGTGTGTTTTACAAAGGCACATGGCATGTGCATGGCTCTCGGCTCACACGTTCCCCCTGCTTGGCGTGGGACTCTGTCCTGTCCTGCTCAGAGGTTCTTACTTGACTGTCTTCTATACCTTTTTCTTAATACTTGCAACTGAAACACAGCTGCTTCAATGAGTCATCCCAGAGGGGCACCAGAGACGCCTGGCCTACAGTGCTTTTCTATCCATAGAATAGCAAAACAAAGGGTTGGCATGATGACTCAAGTGGCTGACCTGTCACCCTGCAGCACCACCACCGTACTTGGGCACTGGTTCTTCTCCTGGCTGCTCCACTCCTCATCCAGCTCCCTGCTTGTGGCCTGGGAAAACAGGTGCAGGATGGCTCAAAACTTTATGACTTCGCACTCATGTAGGAGACCTGGCCGGGGCCCATGGCGTCTGATCAGCTCCACTCCAGGTAGCTCAGTCATTTGGGGAGGGTACTAGCGATGGAAGATATTTCTGTACTTCTGTTTGTAATTCTGCCTTTCTGATAACAGTAAAGAAATCTTTAAAAAGTAAAATATATAAATATTTTAAAACCTGTCTGAAAGTTTTCTTTTGTTATCTGTGTAATGGCAAATGTGGCAAAGTTCCTTTTAAGAGGATAAAGTAGAAATCATTCTTCTAGTAACACAATACTGAACTTCTCCAAATACTTGAAATATCTCTGTAAATCAAACATGAGCCTGTCAACATGTCCCTGTACTCCATTCACTTCCAACACTATGTTAGAGTCAACAATTAACACTAATAAAACATTTTAGAAATTAAAACTATTTCCAGTAGGTAAATATTTGCTTTCTGAGTCTGATATGCTGATGTTGTTAATGACCACGAATTACAGTATGGCCAAGTAACGGCGGGCACAAAAAGGAACACATTCAACACACTATTAACTCTAACAAAGTGGAACGGAAGGGGCCAAAAAGCAAATTTAGTGCTCCTTAAATTATATACTTCCTAGAACTGGCTAGACTGTATTTGAAGTGACAGAAGCATTAGCTTTCAGAGGCTTTTATCAAGACATTCAAAATGCCCTCTGGTGTACATCATTATGTTCAATAGGAAGGAAATGTAATGACAAGAAGGTATTGTTTCCACTGTTCTTGAATGCCGTAATGCTCTTTTAAACTTGTGCTTCTGACACCCCTTACATTTTTTTCCCAATATTTCACTTAGAGAAGAGTGAAGGCAATTTTTGGGTTAGTTTTGTTGCTGTTGATTCCTCATCAGTTTTTTGTTTTTGTTTTTTTTTTTTTGGTTTTTTGTTTTGTTTGGTTTGGTTTGGTTTGGTTCAAGGGAACTTAAAATTCTGCATCAGAGAGTAAGACTTGTTTTTTACTTTTATAATTCTTTATAGAAAATGTTTCAGTGACTAAATAGAAACCACCTGTAATATATAAAACTAGGAAAGCAGTAGCACATTCCAGACAAATTATCTTAACCACGTGGCTCGAGATAGTTTCTACATACCTACAAATTTTGTTCACCTGACTATAGTAACATCAGTACATAAAGTGCTGGCTGTTGGGCATAGTCGGCAGAATACTACAGCAGCATTCCATGGGTACTGATCTGAGTCCCAGCTGCTCCACTTCCAATCCAGAATGGCCTGGGAAGAGCAGTGGAGGATGCCAAGCGCTTGGGTCCCTGACACCCAATTGTGAGACCGAGAATAAGCTACTGATGCTTTGGTTCCGGCCTGGCACAGCTCCAGCTGTTACAGGTATCTGGAAAGTAAGTCAGCAAATGGAAAATTTCTCTCTCTCTGTATCTTTTCTTCTCCACAACTCTGCCATTTAAAAGAATTCAAAAAATGAAAATTATTTAAAAACCAAAGAAAGTCCTGGCTATTGCAGTAATGATGGATAACTCGCCTATATCCATTCCTTCTCAAATCATACTTCTGAGCAGCTCGTGAAACTCTGATTGGCTTTTGCAGCTTTACAGGGCCTAATCCTGGCTGCTGACATTAAAAAAAACAAACACAAACTGTATTTGAGGGCTTCCAGCTGATGACTTATTGCTAAGAAAACATGGAAAAGAGTAAGTCCACTCCCCAGTGTTCACATGGGAGACCCGGAAGAAGCTCTTGGCTTAGGGTAAGCTCAGCTCAGGAGAGTGTGGCCATTTAGGGAGTGAACTAGGACATGGAAAATCTTCCTCTTTGTCTCTCCTCTCTTAAATCTGCCTTTCCAGTAAAAACAAATAAATATTTAAGACAACAGAAAACCAGCAAGTTGTGAGCAGACCGTAACTCAGCCTGTGAAAGCACAAACAGAAGATGATGGGCAAAAGCCAGGGAGCCACACGAGAGGGGAGCCTGAGTGCTGCAGTACTGACTGCAGGTCACCCCCTTCAGAGGAAGTAACAAATACATCCTTTAGACAAATTTAGATTCAAACGGTTTCATTTTGTTCACTCTCACAGAAAGAAATGGTGAAAAAAAAAACTATGCTACATCTTAATTATCAAGATTCACTGTTAATATTGATGCATTTAAATCCACATTCAAAACAATTAGAAACAGGTGAATTTGGAATATTAGTTTTCTAAAGTTGAAAGTGAGTGAGGAAATCCATTTGCCTCTCTGGACATGAGTTCAGTATTAATGACAAAATGAGTAGAATTTAAATACATTATATTTACAAATACAAAGCAAATGAGTGTTAAACGGGATGGACATGAAGCAGGCGTGAAGTCTTAGTAACTCCCTCTGAGCCACACGGTCCTTTCAGCCACATGTGGATGACTTCCTGTGACGCATCACCAGTCTGACAGAGTGCCTCATGCAGAATTCAAGCAGGTGTTCACCAAAAACAGCTAGTACACTTTCTCCCGCTAGAACTGTGTTCTCATTCCGTCTAGGGCAGAAATCATTGCTCCCTTCTGGGAGAACCTGTATCATTTAATTAGTCTTTTCTATTTTGACTTTCAGTAATTGGCATATGCCCTCATTTGACAGAATAGAGTTTTTACTAACATGTATACATTATGAGTGTTGGGGAAGAGAGATAAGAGAGAAGTTAATAGGAACAAAAGTTAAGTCAAATTTAAAATGTAAAGATAACTGTGACATAGCTTCAGTAACTTCAGATGAAACATTTACTTCCAGAATAGAAGTGGCATTAAATGGGTATCATGGGTTTTAAATAGTTCAGATTTAGAGATCTGAAGAATGGCATGATTTTTCATTGCTCTGAATTCAGCTTAACAATACATGCCACACTACAACATTGGGACTTCCAGAGTTTATAGAAAATGGAACAAAATGAAAATCACATTGCAGTGTAAAATATTCTGCAATCCACGAAAGACCGAGGTACCTTTGTGTCTAAGTGTCTTCCATCCATTAAGAATAATTAGCAGTATGTGGGGGACGGTTTTGACCATATATTTAGGATATTTTCATAGCATTAGTAACAGCCAGATTTCTTTTAAAAAAGAAAGTTTGAAAGTAACTTCATCACAATTATTTAGATGGGTTTTTATGCTTATCCAGGCACACTGTTACAGCGGTTTCTGCATTAAATTACTTGGGGTTTGGTGGATTGACATTATTTTTTTTAGCTATTTCTGTAACATTTATAATGCTTCTCAGAAACAAAACAAAACAAAAAAACAGGAACATCAGTGCCTGAACAGAACCTTCAGTTTAATTAAAATTGAAAATGGCAACAGTTGTATGTTTCCTGATATTATTTCATGACTGGCTTTAATATGCTTTGGTTGACAAAATATTTGGCTAACAGACTCAGTATAGAAACATATAACATATGCAACTATAGTCACCAGAGGATTTGTTGCAAAAATGGTTGTAAAACCTCCCCCAGCTCCTGCAGGCTATCTGTAGCACTTCTGGCTGGGGAAGGCAGAGTTATTTATAGCAGTGGCAACAGAAAAGAGGATTGCACATTTCTCAAGCCTCCTATTACTTGCACTGTATCTTTCTCAAGATTAATGTAGCTATTAGAGGGCTTGGTTTTGAGTCAAAGGACTCTGCACAAGAAAAAAAAAGCAATAAACAATAGTTGCAGAAATCCTGCAAGAGAAAAGTTAAAGATAAAAGGAAGGCAATCAACTAAATAGTAAAATAAATAAATAAAAAATACTGTTTCTGGGTAATTTGAATATGGGAAAACACAACCGAAGTTATGGGTTTTCATAATAAAACTAATTTGAAGCAACAGTAACATTTTTACAGTATTTGGTTAATATGTAACAAATACATTTACACACACACACAAATTTTCATGGAAGTTCTTAAGTGTGTAAGTCCCTCATTCCATAATTTTTCCCTTAAATTACCTTAAGAAAAGAAGTTATGTGAAGTTTACTCGCACACTAACGTCAGTTAATTCTCTTACTAAAACCCAATATTTTAAGGCCAGATTTTATGAAATCTATAATTGATCAAGGATACAAGGACAGAAAATCTAAATAGCATAATCACTATTACAGAAATTAAATTTGCCACTGGACGTCTTTCTCACTGCATAAACAATCCACCTCATGATGGATTCACTTATGAATTCTATCAAATATTCAGGAAAGAAATAACATCACTGTTGTGCTACAAATACTTAAAAAAAAAAAAAGACCCAAAGAGATCACCTCCTAAGGTGCCAAATAAGAGCTACAAAACCCTAAAGCCAAAATGTGAAAAAAACACCAATCCCTACAAACAAAATAAAGACAACCATCTATCAATTCATAAACATATGAGAAGGACCTTAGAAATCAATAGAAAATTGAACTCAAAACTATATACAAAGGATATCACAATAAAGCACAATTTATCTCAAGAAAGCTAGGTTGCTTTGATATCTAAAAATCAGCCAACGACTTTCACTCTATTCAACCAATGATCTTCATGTAATAAGTGACGACTGAAAAAAAATGTATTACTTTGAAGAAAGCGTTTTGACAAATTGTTATGTTATTCGTGAAAGAAAATCAACAGCAAATGGCAGGGAAGTTGTGCCAACCATGGGCACCTAACACTCACCCGCTTCCAAAAAAATGACCGCTAACACTGTAATTAATATAAGGTTTAGCAGTACTGACATTAGGAACTACGATAAAGCCATAGCAGCCTCAACAACTTTGGGCTGGGCATTTAGAGTAGTTGTTACAGAGGCAGCTGCATGACACACTGGAGCACCTGGTACCCAGTGCTGCCTCTGCTTCCGATGGCAGCTTCCCATGAGCATGCACCCGCGAAGGGAGCTGCTGATGGCTCAGCTCGGTGTGTCCCTGCCAACTGCAGGCTGGACCTAGGTCCTGGCTCTTGAGTGCAACCTGACCCAGCCTCAGCTGTTCCACTCAGACCTTCAGTTTCGAAATACATTACAAACATACATGCAAAACCTTTTCACAGTCAGTTTAGCAAGTGTGTTCAGAGGCAAAAGCACCCTTCACATAACGAGCTTATGAAGTACCCGCCCACAGGAACTGGTGCTCTGTGGTGGAGAAATGGCTGATTGCCTGGCCTGGGCCCGAAACAGGCCTGGAGCATTTTATTAGACTGGAAGACGTGAAGGTGATTAAAAAAAAAAATGGGAGCAAGGCCCAAAGGCACAGAAGCCACCTTAAAGAGACTCCCACTACATTCACTGGGGGACATCCATACTCTAAAATACACAAGTACAGCAGTAAATGACAACCCCCTGAAGAGGAGAATCAGTGTGGCCACTGGGCCACAGCCTGGTGCTGACTCCTGGATGTGCCCATGTCTAATGGCCTGTGAACGTGCATCCTGGGGTGAGGGCACATGGTATCTGATGCTCAGACTGAGGCCCTGTCTCCTGTTTTGTGCCAGGTCAAGCTCCAGTCTGTGTGGACGTTGGGGAATGACACGGGTGAGAGACATCTGACTCCTTCTTTGTCCTTCTCCAGCTCACTCGCTTCTTCTCAAACACATTTCAAAGCTTGTCAAATGAGAAAAGAGGAAAATCCTCATTCTAAACTGATGGCAGATAGACATAGATTGACAAGAAAGAAATTCTTCTTACAGGAGAAAATTAATGATGACTAGTAAAATCTAAGGAAGTATCAAGGTCAGAAAATAACTACTGTGCAAACTATCAGGGTAAAGATTATATCGGAAAAGAAGCCACAGATACTGGGAAAAACTTTAATGAGATATAGAATATTTTTATAAATATTGTCAGTCAGTTATAAAGGGGGAAAAAACAGCAACATTCTGGAGAAAATGGAAAAACAGTTAAACAGGTGCATAAAAATTACCCCTGCTAATGAAGGACAGATGGACACCCTGTGTAACCAGATGATGCACTCCTTAGGGGACAGTGCAATGCATGCAGTCTTTCAGCTAAGAAGGCATAATCTAAATCTAATTATGAGTTGGCATCAGAACATCAGGGAACTTTAAAGTGCAGGAGGTGACTATTTTTGTAGCCATGCTGTAGAAAAAAGAACATGCAAAGGAACAAATATAATGTCAAGACTAATTGTATCTGGGTCAGAAGTGTAAGATATTTTTAGTGCTATTTTTAGCCTTAAGAATGTTTGTAACTTTGAAATTGTTTCTAAACAAACAGACTTTAGGTGAATATGAAACGTCCACCTGCCAGCTTTGATACTCTGCACTAGCAGCTAAACTTAAGCATGTCAAGATTCACTTTCTTCTGCTGTAATATAATCCCAGCACCTTGGCAGTGCTTAGCACTTCAAGAGCCAATCTGCCATTCATTTATTGAAAGGATGAACGAATCAGTAAACAAACAACAATTTGATGAGTGCCTTATTTAATATACCTTAATTTTTTTAAGCAAAAATAATTATTTATAGGAAAGACAAAGTTGCAGAGAAAGATCTTGCATCCTTGGTTCACTCCCCAAATGGCTAACACTCCACGGATGGGCTACTCGACTTTCACTGGGGTCTCTCAAAGGAGTGGGTGCTGGGCCCTCACTGGAGGTCAGAGTGACTATCATTGACAAAATCAAGCATATAAAGTTTGTGTATATATAAACAAATGAGAAGGGTATAGAGAAAAACGCACCCTAATTCATTGTCGCTGGGGAGGTAAATCGGGACAACCATTACAGAAGACAGTACGGAGTGTCCTCAGAAAACTAAAAATACGTCTGCCATATCACTTAACCATCCCACTTCCGGGATTAAACCCGAAGGAAATGAAATCAGCCTGAAAAAATTAACTGTATTCCCCAAAAAATAGCAGCTCAATTTATAACAGCTAAGATATGAAATCAAACTTGCTGCTGGTAACCCCTGATAACTGCATAAAGAAAATGTGGAATATGCACAGAGAAATATTAATCAGCCATAAAATAATCCTGACTTTTGCATCAAAATGATGCAATGGGAGATCAATACTTTTGCAAACAACAGATTTTCTCTAATGCATGGGAGTTAAGATTTACAGGGAGTTAAAAAAATTTCTGTATTTAAAAGGAAAAAACTGACATGCTTTCATTAAATTAAATTATATTCTTTGCACATGATTTTGCTGATTTTTTACTTTTTACTATATGCTATGTAGCTACCACTGGGACTTACTATAGCTCTTTTTTAAATTCCTGTTTTTCTGGACTGAAAATTGCCTACTAAAATGAAAGTAAATACATGGATAGATATGATTGTAGGGTACATCATTATGAAATATTAATAAAATATTACCTTTAAATCCAGACTGATTTTCAGAAACAAACACATCTCTTTTTTTGCTATGTTAAGATTTCCTCTGGTTTGGGGAATACTTTTTAATATTTTTATTTTTGTAGGATGGACAAATTTCATATACACAGACTAAAGATCCCAGCGCTACTTCCCACTCTACTGTCCCTCCAACCTTTCACATTTTAACTCTTCTATCTCTATTTGTGGAACGTGCACAGCAATTACACCATTACATTATTCTGTATTTGTATTATGAATTTATCCTTACCCATGAAATTTATACTTCCTTTGGCTTTCCATTTGATGTTTATGGTGCTTTGATTTTCATCTGAAAAATCTTTTAAGCAGTTTCAAAGAGCTATTCAGCAATAATATCCTCTGAGTATTTCTCATAGAGAGATGTTACTCATCATTTTTACAGGATAATTTTGTGGAGTATACCACTCTGGGTAGGAAGCTGTTTTCTTTGAGCATTTCAAATATAATGCTCCACTGTGTCTTTGCCTGAAAGGTTTCTATTGAAAGCTACACTGGCAGCCGTATGGGTGCTCTATTATACACAAATCACATTCTCTATTCTCTTTACAAAAGGAACAAAGATCTCCAGAATGGAAAAAGGAAGTCACGTTTACTAAATATTTCAAGGATGCAGAAACACACATGCACAGTTCTGAGTTAATATACATCACGGGTTGAAGAAGCTAAACAGAAAAGCACTGCAAGAATTACACTAAAGATTTTGTTGGCGGAGAGTATTCTATTGTTTACACCCACTTCAGGGAAGCATCCTGAATACAAGATACTGGATGAACAGGATCAAGAGCTTTATTATAAAGAATGAAACAAAACAAAAACTGGTAAGTGAAATTCTCTTTTACTTCCCTCAATGTATTTGCAAGGGCTTGATTCCTGAGTCATGTGATTAAACTGTTGAATGCTCACCTGCGAGGATGGTTAGCATCAAACAGTGTGTTATCCTCATCCTCATCATCTTGTTCTAACGGTGTCAGTTCCATGTTTTCTATGTTCGTGTCCAAAACTCCGTATCTCCTGGTCTTTCGATTTCTTCTCCTCATCCTAACAAAAAGAACAAATCAACAAATACACATTTAACATCACATGCTTGTCTGAAAATTCAAAACAAATTATCTTTTACTGATAAAGCTGGCGCTCAATACCATAGGGATTGCAATTCATGAAAGCAACTCACTCACTCTGTAAGATTACTCTGATTCTTGAAACAGAACCTACTTCTACATGATTGTGTGTCATCAGCATTTCTTCTGTCTGAAATACTTGGTTCTCTGTCGGTTGTGGTGCGAGCTTCACCATCCGTCTCTCCCAAGGCTTGTACTTTCTATCTGCATGCCGATGTTCAGGTTGATGCTTCCATGTCTCTTTTACTAAACTCCACACAGCTAACAACCATGCCTATTTCACTCACCACCGTAGAACCACTTTTTAGCACAATGTCCTGCTATTCAAGATGACTCAAGTATTTTTGAGGGTCTGAGTGATTTCCAACTCTGTGATCCAAAACCATGATGCTGTTAAGGCAATGCCTGAGTTCCCTCCAACACAACAGCCTCAATGCCACATGTTTCTTTCAAAGGGAGCTACTGGAATTTTCTTAATGTAGACTATTTCTGAATATAGGGTGGTGCATCTTCATGATGCTATTAAAAAAAATTGTACAAAACTTGTAAAATAACTGGAATTACCTCCACCAGTTACTACCTCCAGACTGATCTATGTGTCTGTCCATTTAAAAGTAATGGAACAGGAAATAGCAGTTGTAGCTCCAGTATTTAGTTAGAAATCTAACCAATGAAACAGACAATAAAAAAATAGAAGCAGCAAAATTGAGGCCAGCATGAAGTATAACTTTGTCTCAAACATTGTTGTTATTTATACACATTTAGGGGCATCAAGGCAGACCGCCCCCCCTCCCAGCCCCAGCCCCATTCTGCTGGTTCACTTTCTAAATGCCTGAAATAGCTGGGCCTTAAGCAGGAAAAAGCCATAAGCTAAAAACCCTACCTGGGTCTCCATTTGGTGACAGTGACCTGTGCGATTGCGTCATCTCTGGCTGCCTTTCTGTGAGGCTCCCAGGAAGCTGAAATGGGGAGTGAGCTTCCACTAGGAGCCGGACATTCCTGCAGAAGGGCCAGGTGTCCCAAGGGCACCAAGCACCTCAGCCACATGCCTGCCCAACGCTAGTCTTTTCCTAATAGTGAGGAGTTACATGAGTTTAGGTTGATGAATCCATTTGCATGTGTACGTTCACATGTGTTTATCTAAGCACATACATGTATCTACAATTACCATGTAGGTCAGAGGAGCCAAAACTTCCAGGAAAAGGAAGATCAGCCCCGAGCTTGAACTCAGTGGGCTGCTCGTGGTCTCTGTCATATATTCACCTGAAGTGCATAATATCATTGTTATTCTCAATTTTCTAAACCCTATCACTTTCCAAATATCTTGCCATTTTTTAGTATGGAAAGATGAGTTTAACATCCTGTGAAATTATTTTTGAAAATATATTATATTTTTTTACGTGACCTATGTCCAACAGTCAAATATGTTAATGACCTGATCATTGTCAATGACACAATATGATGGCAAATCTTAGTGCAGGCTGGCACGAAAATACAGCTCATGGACTTCAAAAATTTACCTCCGCTCAATCTCGGCTTTTCTCTCAACGTGGCCATCAGATCTTAGATGAATTTGTAATCTTTCAGTGACTATACAACTTTCCTCAACCGTTTATGGAATAAACATTTGATCACACTGGTGTGGGCATTTCATTAGTCATACAGTCTTTACTGCCCATTAATAAATCTTTTTCGAACATGCATATAAGAACAAAGAGAGGGATTTTCAAATGACAAAAAATAAATTTAAAAATTAAAAACTAAATAAGAACATATACTGTACACAGAGATAGAATATTACTTTAAGTGCTAAATATATTAGGGATCCAATTTAAGAGAATATCCAAACAAAATGATTCTCAACCAAAAATATGTCTATATATTATTAAATGGAATGTAAACTTGAAAAACAATTGTTTAAAAGACATCTTTGTTGTATCCAAAGATGTGCTTAATGATGGCTTTGTGGCCATGGCAGTTTCATGAATATAAAAGCAATAAATATTACAATATACAAATATTATAGTATACAATGACCTTTCTCAAAGAAAGTAAAAAAAAAAAAAAAATTGGGCAGGTAGATGTGAAAAAGCACATGGATGAGTGACATGTGCTTTTATAATATGCCAGAAATGTAAGGAACTTTTAAACAGAAAGCCTACTTTTATCTTTTGACATGTAGTGTTAGACTATTCTAAACAACAACAAAAAATAAAATGCACTTTATGACTTACACAATGTTCACAGACACGGTTCTTTCATCAAAAAACGTGTTGTCATCAAGCTCATGACAACCAAATTCTGCTGATACATACATGTAATTATAGATATGCTCACTTTCTTCTAAGGATAATAAATGCATTCAGAAATATGAAACCAAAGTGTGTTGGCTCCTCATGATTGTAAAAAGGTTTTTTTTTTTTTTTCCTACTATAAGAAGAGAAGGAGATAAAGAAAGGCTGCAAAGGCAAAAGAAAAACCTACATGCTTAGTTATTGGATTACACTCACTCAAAACACAACAGGCAGAGATAAATGATCCTTATCAGGCACCTTGTAGGTATTCAGTTAACACTCCAATAGCTGCTCTAATATGCCTGCAGATTCCTTAATGTTCCATTCTGCTTGGATTATTTCAACTCCAATATTATATACGAGATAGCATATCAAAATGAAACTACTAAAGTAAGCCTGATAAAATTTTATGCAAAAATAAATGATACCACATAAAATAAACACAATAGGATAAAACTCCATTTCCTTTTACTACATAAAAGAGAGAACCCTGTTGAGTGTAATGTGCTGTTACTTGCCGCATCCACTTGATTCGGTTCCCCTTTTATTTTCCTCTGAAGGTGGTAGGGAATGTATTAACTATGTAATAAGAGGGCAACAGGCTATACAAATATTAATCCCTACAAGTACATTCAAAATTTGTGAAACACACTCTCTTCTATGAGGTTAGATATAATGATGAAGTGGTGTTAATAGTAATGAATAGGTAATGTACTGATACAAAATTTTTTTTTAAGCAAACTTGTGGTTAAGAATGAATTTAACCAATCAATGACATAAATGAATTCGAAGCCAATTGGTTACCACTGAACATCAGGAAATAAAAACTAATGTACCACATTTTAGCATTTTATAATTTTCATCAGGAAGCACAATTCAATTGGATACATGACCCATAATAAATAGATAAGTAAACAAATAAGTAAATGTAATTTAATAATTTGACATTTCTCTTTTTTAGTCCCCATTACATAAACTGATTCATCAGGTGTCAGTCCAAATGCATTCAGAGATTGGAACCAACAGAAAGTAGAGTATGGTATGGGTGTAATTTTGTCCTCCACAAATGATGTTAACCCTACCACTCAGTGTAGCATAGTGCGATTCTGTTTAGAGAACAGGTCTCATTCATCCCTTACAATGGACACATAATGTTAATTCTGAATAGAAAGAGCACTCGGAATGAATCAGTTAAATGTATCATGACAGTATATTAGATTTTCTGCCTTTGTCTATACCTACAATACCATGATGCACTGAAACGGTAGAACATTAAACTTGTAACTGTCCCTAAAGGACTAGCCTACTGTAATGATATGGAAGAAAATGGTGAAAGTGGAAAACAGGGAGGAATGAAGAAAGAGGTGGGAGGAATAATTATATCTACAAAAGTATATCATAGAAAATAGCATAATTAAAAATGACCATAATGGAGAGATATAATGGAACTGTGTAATTAATAATCAAAGAAATAGAAAAAAATAATTTCATAATAAGTAATTTGACTACAAGTCTTGAGCTTTAAAACTAAACTGCAGGAAGTGTTGCAACAAATCAAAGTAATTTTAACCAAGGTCACAAAATTAGTTGACACTCTAATCTTGTGAACTCCATTTCAATGATCTCAAGTTACACCAGACAAGAATATTATTTTAAGGACAACATAAAAGGGTATTCAGAAAAACAAAAAAACCGAACATAGGGAGAAAAAGCCTTCTTCCAGGCTGTTTTTCCTTCTTTCTGGCCGAGGTACAATTATTTGAGAACATGCTTAGACAGCATTCTATGGAGCGGCACAAATGGAATAATCCAGAATTCTGGTATTTTCCACAAGACACTGGAGCAAATGTGGACCGGCTTAAAGCCAAGCTTAGTGTGTAACAAAATACACTCAGAAGCTGAATCATCTTTAAATGGACACGCTATTACGCAACAGCTAAAATTACTGCTGCAATAGGATATTCTATCACTTGCAGCAAGTTTTTTAGGGCAGTTGACATCTTAGCTTCTCAGATGTGTTTCCGGCTTCATCACCTACAGGTGCAGTTCCTACCATGCTGATTCCTTTGAAGAACCTTTGATGTAGGTTCTATTCACATACCTTCCACACAAAATAAAGTAGATGTTTTTTCAACTGTTTTTGATCTGAAATCAGTGTACTGTAAAAAAAAAAAAAAGCCCCACCTTTCTATAGTTTCATCTACAGTATTTTATTCCTTTTCAAACTCAGGGCAGTGGTCCCATCTTCAACTAGTTTATATTTTTAAACTTTCCTATAGTGGTTCAAGTGGAAAAAACATATATAGAGAGACAGCTAGACACAGAACGCACCCATCATTTTTCGCTCTCCAAATGCCAGTAATGCTGAAGCTTGGCCAAGTCAGGGGTCCAAGCTAGGTGCTGGCAACTCAATCCAGATCTCCCATATGGCTGACAGGGAGCAAGCTACCCGGCTGGGTTAGGATCTCCAACAGCAGCTAACTGGGGTTAAGGGTCAATGCTGGGAGCTAACGTAAGCACACCATCCACTGTGGGACGTGAGCATCTTAAGGAACAGGCCACGTCCCTGCCTTACCTCCCATTTCCATAGTGATCATTTTGCCTTTTTCATCATTTTGTAGTCCAA